AGGGACGGGCTACAACGACATCCTAGCAGGCAGAACCAACACCAATAGTTGACGATTTTAGAGCCATTTTCTTCTACATGTTGTACTTATTTTGCATCGGCGCGGTAATACATGTAACACATGTTACGCTGATGAGAAATATTTCATTCTTGAAATGAAATGATCCAGTAAACGGCAAAAGAAACATATCAGCTGCTCAATTAATTATAATGGTATTGCTGTAACCTGTGCAATAAATATGTCTTGTTTCGTAGCGTTTATATGTTGTGACATACGTTTATTAATATTTTATTATAGCGGAGGAGAATGAAAATCAATTTCCATTCCTATGTCTTTTTGGTCTGTAAGATGTCTTGTGTCTTGCCGTTTATTAGAAAATTATGAATGTTCATATCGTAGATGTGAAATTATTAGTATGATGACGTACTGATTAGCTATTAGTATTAGTACTCCACATAAATCATTAACATGCATTTTGTTCGCTCTTCTGTGAAAAGCTACTCTGTGCCAAGATTTTATCTATATTCATGTCTCCACACAGGTTTCTCCGTACTTGTAACGTTTATTTGTCTGTGGATTAGTACTACTTGTGACACTGGTTTATTCAAGCTGCATCGACACGATAAAATGCTGCCTAAATCAGCAAATAAACCACAATGACGTGTGATTTTTCTTCTTGGTTGTGTCTTGATATATATTAGAAACATTGGCTAGTTGACCGGTTGCCTGATGGATTACTTGTGAAATAATGCCTTTTATTCAGCGATGACGTGCCATAGTGCCAGTGTGCCGCGGGTAACGTTAACGTTTAGGCCACACCAATTTAACTTGTTGGTTCTCGGATTCGCCTCTTCATTTTTTTCTGATTTGAAAAAAAAATTATGGTTCTGAATCAACTCTACATTCTCATATTTTGCTGCTAACACTTGAGGAAAGTTATTTTCTTCCTAGTTGTTACAGTTTTTCCATCTATCAATGCAATGGTTTCATTAAAAGTTCAAAATTCATTGTTTGAATATTAACCCAGAACAAAACGGATCACGTATGTTTTGTAGGCAGGACTATATCATTTCTAAAAGAAATTGGCGGTTTGAATTACTGGTATTTAGCAACAATTTGGCATTTATGCTGCAACCCCTATAATATTCCCCATATACTGTCCTGGCGATAATATGAAGCCATTATCATTATACATGTACAAAAGGCACTTACAGTTGATGACCTCTATTTGACTGGCGATTTCGCCATAAACTGAAATAAAGTCATAAGGCATTTGCCTTAAAAACGCGAGCTATTCGTTGTCAACATGAACAGAAGCATGCGAAAATCTTGCTCAGCTCAGCCTTTATATCATGACGTTCTTAGTATATACATGCGATGTATTCCTCGGCCATGTCCGAAATGAGCCATTCCTATCAAATAACTCTTTTTGACATTTGCTTAACATCTATTATAAATCCGGGGATGAAACATTTCACGTCACAGGAGGCGATGTTCCTATATACATGCTATAGGGACGCTCCAACTACAGAAATGATGGTTAATGAATCCCCCCTCTTCTGTCGCGCTATTTCATTGTTATCAGGTATGTAAAGTTCCAGATTCATACACAACGTCGTATAATCGTCATATAATAACCCACAAAATTTTGTATGAAGGGCGCAGATTTCATGCATATTTTCCTATATTTAGATCGACCCTAACATGCCCAAATCGTTTAGGGTGCTGAAACGATCGGTCACTGCGCTCGCGAAATTTCGGATAGACAAGACAGATGTTCAGCTTGCGCGGGCAATGTACCTCCAATCCCCGAGGGGGTCACGGTGAACACAGTTCACTCACTTATCACGCTCAGTGGAGCCCAGACATGTGTATGGTCAAAGATGTAATCGCCAGACGTCTACGTATTGCGGCAGTGCAAATGTATGCCTGGCCACTCCGACCGCTGTACCGCAGCAGAACGTAACCATTTTATAACGAGGGTGACATTCATTTAGGAGACAGCATCCAACGGTATACTGTGGGTACACCGCGTCGATCGAGTTACATAGAAAAACGAGGTGGATAATTTGTCAGTCAGCGTGGGGCACTGGCTGCAAATCCCAGCCACTTCATTTCCGAGGGAAGACAAAATCGGAGATGGCGGGACTTCGATCGGACGTGCTTGGGGTGCGGAAGGGCAGAACGGGCTGGATACCACCTGAAAAGAGGGCGGGTGGAGGTGAGGATGTTACATGACTTTCTATGTTGTACACATGTATTATAGAACCGAGTACTGACTAACTAAGAAGGGTGAGCAACAGTCAGAGAGGTAAGACTGTCGGGATTTCTTCAGAATAAGATAGAAAACGAAGTTGCTAGAATTAAATGCTTTTAGTTGCTGTGTGTTTCTTGGGGCATCTGTCATCGTACGTCGTACATTGACCGTGATGGAAGTCGACAGATAAACTAGGCAACAATACGCAATTTAGGACCGTCAAATCCGCACAGAAAAGGGAATATTCATGACATTCTAGCAAAGGATCGTCTGCGGATAAATCAGTCATAATGAAATCCTAATTACGACGCTCTTATGAATTAATGTGCAACCAGAGTCTACATGAAAAATGATCATATATCGCACATATAGCTAGCGTTACAGTCGTCTGGGTCTGGCCTAGAATCTTCCAACATGCAACACTCTGAAAATACACAATCCAAAACGAAATATAAATGGATACTATGATGTAAAAATAATTACAGAAACAACGGCTTTACATTCATTAGACCTTCACTCGACCGTTACGTCTGATTTGATATACGGGATAAACATGGTCATGTGGAGAGGCAACACAAAAACTAGGTCGAACAGAAAAAGTAGTTATCCAGACAGGACACATGTTTTAAGTGTCTTTTTTGTGAGAGGTCTGCAGCTGTCTTCCTTTAGTTGCTCCACCAAACTTACAACAGTATTGGAAAATGTTAAAATACTAAAGGGGGAGAATAATTGGCCACGAGAGTATGGCCACCCTCGAGTTCATTTGTCCGTTCATTTTACCGAGGGGAAAATGAAATCCTAACGGTGGATCCACTGGTCAGTTAGACCCTATTTTTGGCGAATTCTACTAGATGTATCCCCACCAAACCCCTATAGGAAGGCTTGGTAGTGTTGACCTCTGTGCAATGATGTGACAGATGTACATGTACAGGGACATCCGCGTATTTGTGTGCAATAGAGGTCGTCCGTCCGGTACCAGGGGTGTCAAGAGTATACAGTGCAATTTTACGGAATACAGTACAATCGTATTAGTATACAGTGCAATTTTACGGAATACGGTGCAATCCTATTAGTATACAGTGCAATTTTACGTAATACGGAATATAAAGCTGTACTGTATACTAGTAAAATTGCACTATATACTAAAACGATTGCACTGTATTCCGTAAAACTGCCCTTTATACTAATATCATTGTACTGTATTCCGTAAAATTGCACTGTATACTAGTAAATTGCGCTGTATTCCGTAAAATTGCACTGTATTCCATAAAAGTGCACTGCATTCCTTAAATTTGCACTCTTAGTACTCTGGCACCCCTGGGTACACGTGTACAGAACAAGCCTGCTGTTGTACCGGGTGTCTGACAGGAACACCGCGGGACGTGGGGCCGACCCGCCCACCATGTCGTGGGAAAAGGACACACTCAATCGATTTGGCCTTGAAGCTTGAAAAATAACATCCTTGGCACGTATATCTCGTGTGTGGAGAGTTTCCACCGGAGATACAGATGAATGAGGTCAATCTATTAATCTATCAATTTCAAAGAGGAGTGCTCTAAAATCATATTTACGATTTAGCCTGTAAAAAAGGAAATGGAAAATTGGTTTCGCCATGACATCACTCAAGACAATTTTACGATGAAATTGATTCAAATTTATAGTTCTTTCCCTCTTTTTTTCATATCATGGGAGATTGAGATATCTCAAGATGGAACCAAAATCATAGGACGTTCCCTCCGAATAACGATATCATCCCCCGGTGACGCGCAAACCGAGCATTAGATTACAAAGCACTGACCGCAACATGGCAATTACATCGCCGATAAAATGATGTTACATGAGATAAAGTCATACGCCGCCCACTAGATTTTATGAACTCGTATACGTGCGTGTGCGACGCGTTACGTTACGTACATCCTGAATATATACTGATGTTTCAAAACGACTCGCAAAGGATATCAAATTTGCGTCAAAAATATCCTCCGGCGTAACCCGAGGTTAGAACACGCGCCAGTAATTAATTCTCACCGTCGTGTTTTCGCGCACTCACTTTGAGGAGACCCGGTTTTTCGTTATTACTACTTACCGTGGCGTCTGAAGTTACCGCGTACGTGAGGCCAGCAGGTACGAAGGATATGTGTTACAGTCGACATTGATATTTTTCACGGGTAAAAGGCTAGGGACGTATCGGTATAAACAGAAATACCTGCAAATCTAGGTAAGAAAACAACGTGGTCTCTAGATAATAAATTAACAGAGACCTGCTAATAATATAAGAATGTGTATACATACTGATTCAGCTTCGTTTGCCATTGTAAGTTACAAGCCACATTCGGTCTACCCCGCAAAAATACAAAAGGGAGTCATCTATACACAATACCCTTTATTCAGCTAATTGGTACTTCTACACTCTAAGCCCAGTTTAAAGAATATCGAAACCTCAGTCATCTCTGTCAGGCCTCAGCATTCGAATCCCTATTTGCTATTGAAGCGGCATGATCACTGTCCGAGGTAGCGGGTAGTTGATGAGAGCAATTTTTACCTCTGACGTACGTATTATGTTTCGCCTCTCAGCTAATATATCAAGGTTTTCTCATTTCTTCTCGACATCACTTTCTATCCACACAGCAAGCCTCCGAGCAATTTGTACTCGGCAGTACGTACATCAGTCCTTTATGACGAAAATGACAGGAATAAAATCATTTCCACTCACCAAGCAAATAAACGACTTCTACTGCTACTTACGGTCCCTGGTATGTTCTATGATTTTCCATATTCCTGCCGCCTTAGTGTCTCTATCTTTATTAAATTGATACACATTTGCCAAACGGAGATATTTCTAGAGGAGGTCGTGATTTATAAAGTCCATATTCACCCAATCATCTTGAATGTGTTTTCAATGAGGCTTCCTCTTTTGCTGTAGCATCCCTCCCAGATGGAGCGTGCGCGGGCAAATTGGGAAGGGGCGCTATGTCCTTATTCAGGACCTCTCTTGTACATTCAGTCAGCTATCCGCCTGTGCAAAGATTTATTTGCGCTATTTAGCTCATCGCTGGTGCTGAATACAGAATCATACCGGGGGCCATAAACTGTGCAAGCATCACGAAGGAACGCTGCTGAAGAATCCATGTCGGTTTGCGGAATAACGGTGTCTGATTTTGCATTGGTTTGCATACTCTTTGCCTCTGTTTTATTTTTCTGACACAAACTGGTGTGGTAACTGTTGATTGTGTCGTCTGAAAATTTTGCTCGCTCAATTTATATGATTGCTAACATGAAATACCATAGAAATTAAGTTATCTGATGTTTACTAAAGGATATAGCAATATTTTGAAGTCCTTGTCTTTTTTTTCTGACAGACATGTGTCCCTCGCAATGGAAGCACGCCATGTGGGTGACGTCAACAGTATGTGTGCTGGTGTGGTTTGGGATGTACAGTGGCGGGAACACCGTGTACTACCCGTCAGGCTTCAGCGTTCAAAACTCCGAGCGCAACCCGTTACCATGCCGACCGTGCCAAGAACACACCAACCTTGCCTTCGTCAAAGTGCACAAGGTAAGATCGCACCTCTTAGTAAGTAATTACATCTGGGTACGGGAGTACTGGTTTGAGTGGTTGTGTAGTTTGTGTGTTTTGAATCAGACCAGAGAGGGCTGACAGAACCTTTGTGGGAGGGAATATTTATAGGCAATATATGTCATGGGGTCAAAGGCGTCAGACAGCAGACAGATTAAATGCGTGAAGTTGAAAGTCATAGAATCTGTCCTGGAGGCAGCAGGAACTAGTCCTGATTAAATTGAATACGTCATACAATCTCAGCCGCGCCGTTTCAATGAATTCGTGAAAAAAATTCAAAATACCCCCTGGAAGCCTGAGGTCTCAGTTTGAAGATGATTTCTGAAAAAAGAATAGTTTTGTACATATATTTCTAGATAGATTCTGACTGCAGACTTCAGAATCTTTTCACTGTTTCTCCCCATAGGCCGGGGGAACGACTGTTACCTGTCTACTTCAGCGCTTCGGCGATCTTCGTAACCTGTCGTTCGTTCTCCCTCGGAAAGGGATCAACTTGGGCTGGCCTCATCAGATGAGCCGGGGAGACTTCCTACCTTCCCTGACTGGCGAATACAACATTCTCGTACAACACGTTATCTTTAATAAGACCACGATAAGCAGTATCATGCCCAGGGACACTAAGTTTATCACAACTATAAGGGAGCCTTTCAGTCATCTGAAGTCTGTGTTCAACTGGTACAAACTCGCCAAAGTTTTCAGGATCCTCGGCAAAAATCCCGTGGGGGAATTCCTCAAGTCCCCAGCGATGTACGAAGCGCGGCGTCGTGATATCGTCCCGTCAAAAACAAGGAACTTCATGGCGTTCGACTTAGGGTTTCCCGTCAGGGCACAATCGGACAACGACAGCGCGGTTAGGGAGTTCATTCGACAGATGGACGAAGACTTTTTGCTGGTGATTATTCTGGAGCATTTGGATGAATCGTTGGTGTTGCTCAAGCGGTATCTTTGCTGGTCTTTGTCAGATATTTTGTATTGGAGACAGAACAAGAGGAACTACCAGTACAAGGGCACGAAACTTTCCGCCAAGCAGAGAAGAATACATCAGAAATGGTCGAACGTTGATTACGCTTTATACGATCACTTTAACGCCACCTTGTGGAAAAGGATTGAACAGCAGGGGCCTGATTTCTGGGAGGAAGTGCGCCACTTCCAGGCACTGCACAACGACGTTATGCAGTTTTGTCAGTCCTCGCGGTCTGTGTTGAACATAAGGGTTGGGTCCTCCAGGTGGAACGAGGAATTCTACGTGGATTCGAGATACTGTGCCAAATTAAAGTTGTGGTCCATACATTATTTGAACTATCTGAGAAAACGGTACTACTTCCAGAGGGTAAAAATGATCAGAAGCAAGACTGTGGTTCATAAGGTTTCTATTAAAAAACGAAGTCACTGCTTTTCTGGGTCCAACAATGCCACTGTCACCAATAGAACTACTTCAGTTAAGAACATACCAACAGCGCCTTAAATAAATGATGATACAAAGAAGAAAACAAATCGGTAACAAAAACAGCAATACAATGAAACTGCAGCATTGTCGTTTGATAATTACAGAGACTACTGATATATATGTAGTTTATATACAACAAAATGTACCCCTTCTGTATGTAAAGTTGTCATAAAGGACTCATATTGTTGTCCGCCTAAGATTGCTGCTTTACTTTTTATATTTCTCACATGTGTAAACAAAAATCTAATGTCAAAGATTAGGAATTTACGAATAAATACATCCATTTATGTCTTTGAATATCGGTGTCATTATTTCTAATTACTTTGCAAAGTGGAAATACGTATCAACAAGAGCGGATCACGTGATGATCATCTGTCGCAAGATGGCGGACGTCAACGAAAGTGTGTATTTTTCACTATTTTTGTATTCATCTCACAAATATTTGCTACAGTCTGGCACCTATACCTTCAATTCAAGTCCCGCAAAGGGCATGAAACGACATAGTTAGCATCATTCCAGCAATTGTTGATGAAATTTCAAGAATACTTGAATTTACCACAATAAGTGTCACTGGAGGTAATATACGTTTAGTGTCAGGTGATCTACTATAGGGTGACAAAACTTGAAAAGTCTCTAAACATTACAAAGAATTAAGTCAAATATAGCACTTATAAAGATATAATCGAGCGTAGCGTTATAGTCACTTTTTTGGGATCTAAAACATTTAAGTCATATGACGTTACGAGTACACAGGTGATGTTGAAAACTACAGAGCTTACACCGAACAAGTACAGTTATGAAAAAAAAAACAGAGGTGATATTAGAAAAGAGGTTGTATTGAAAAAATACAGCGGTCATATTAAAATAAATAGATGGTGATCGATATTTAAAACACACACAAAGGCGGTGTTGAAAAGAATAAACACGTCGAATGTTACATTTATATCAGTCGGTTTCGTAAACATAACTTAGATAGCTGGGCCTACGACTGATTCAAACTGGTGGCTGAGATGCCTACTACAAAATCATCCCATAATAGATAATAAAACATAAGATACAAGTACGTAGATGAAAGATAAACATTCAGGTACAACAAATCTATCCAGTTGCTTGAGTAACAATTTCATTGTGTAAAACATAGGATGTAATGAACTAATTGTTTTAACGAGGCAGGACGTATGAACCCTCGAGTGATAAAGGACTATTCATCATAATATAAAGAAACAATAACGTTCCTGTAATGAGAGACAAATACCTCAAAGTTGGATCTACATTATTGTCTGTTACAAAGCGGCCCTCCCTGTACATTTTGATCATTTCCACCCTTTTTTCACTTATAACTCATTTTACGACTCATTTTATCCGCTAGCAGTCTAAAGATGATATCGAGCAGGTACATCAATACACATGGCTACCCTTCAGTCGCTACATGTCGCTCAGTCAGGTATAGTTTCATACATATCAGACTCTGTGTCTGTCTTTAAACTATCACCAACATGGGTGATTTGCTTTGGGTCATAGAGAGTGTTGCTTGAAACTCGGCCCGTCGCCATGTTGTTCACCTGAGCAAGCGGGGCACTATTTCCATCCCTGAGTCGTTTTCTTACCCAATATACAGCCACGGCCACGCCACAAACCACACAGGGCACTGCAAGCACTGCCATTATTATAGTTAGAATCCACCCTGATGCCACGACAACTGCTTGTGAAGTTGTCATGCCCAGTGTCATTTTTGTCATGTTCAGTGCCTGTGTCATTTCTGTCATGTTCAGTGCCTGTGTCATTTCTGTCATGTTCAGTGCCTGTGTCATTTCTGTCATGTTCAGTGCCTGTGTCATTTCTGTCATGTTCAGTGCCTGTGTCATTTCTGTCATGTTCAGTGCCTGTGTCATTTCTGTCATGTTCAGTGCCTGTGTCATTTCTGTCATGTTCAGTGCCTGTGTCATTTCTGTCATGTTCAGTGCCTGTGTCATTTCTGTCATGTTCAGTGCCTGTGTCATTTCTGTCATGTTCAGTGCCTGTGTCATTTCTGTCATGTTCAGTGCCTGTGTCATTTCTGTCATGTTCAGTGCCTGTGTCATTTCTGTCATGTTCAGTGCCTGTGTCATTTCTGTCATGTTCAGTGCCTGTGTCATTTCTGTCATGTTCAGTGCCTGTGTCATTTCTGTCATGTCCAGTGCCTGTGTCATTTCTGTGGCGTCCGGTGCCTGTGTCATTTCTGTCACGCCCAGTGCCTGTGTCATTTCTGTCATGCCCAGTGCCAGTGTCATTTCTGTGATGTTCAGTGCCTGTGTCATTTCTGTCACGCCCAGTGCCTGTGTCATTTCTGTCACGCCCAGTGCCTGTGTCATTTCTGTCATGTTCAGTGCCTGTGCCATTTCTGTCATGTTCAGTGCCTGTGTCATTTCTGTCATGCCCAGTGCCTGTGTCATTTCTGTCACGCCCAGTGTCTGTGTCATTTCTGTCATGTCCAGTGCCTTTGTCATTTCTGTCATGTCCAGTGCCTGTGTCATTTCTGTCACGCCCAGTGCCTGTGTCATTTCTGTCACGCCCAGTGCCTGTGTCATTTCTGTCATGTTCAGTGCCTGTGTCATTTCTGTCTCGCCCAGTGTCTGTGTCATTTCTGTCAGGTTCTGTTTCTGTGTCATTTCTGTCATGTTCAGTGCCTGTGTCATTTCTGCCATGGCCAGTGTCTGTGTCATTTCTGCCGTGCCCAATGCCTGTGTCATTTCTGCCGTGCCCAATGCCTGTGTATATGTACTCATCCGTGATAGTTCTGCCTTGCTGCGGGTTGTTGGCAACGAAGACCATGTGGTGACATTGGGCTGATAAGAGGCATAATTAGCTGTGGGACAGGGAGTGTCTGTAGGACAGGGCTTCCGGAAACATTTTGAGATATCCAATTTATAGAGTTCTACGCCCTCTAAATTTGGAGGTGTTTTACAGCGAAACGAGCCTGGGTGTTTAAACATTTCATGTGCCATTGTCTTAGTCATAAACAAGTTAATGCAGAAACTTGTTTGTTGGTACCGGCACCTTTCCGTCGTTATCGCCAAATAAACGAGCCAACCTATGTCGCAGTCACAGTGGAAAGGATTACCCCACACGGTCGCAGTGTATAGTTCGTATGAACCCTTCAGCATGTCAATTCCTAAATCACAGGACGCAAAGGTCGTGAGGCGGTTGTAGGAAATGTTCACCAGTCGTAGGAATCGCAGGGCAGACTTGACGGGGAAGAGGTTAACGCAGAAAATCTGGTTTTGTGACAGATCTAATCGATTCAGATACGGAAATTTCTTCAGACATTTCCAGGAGAAATGACTGATACTGTTATTTCGTAGATTGATCGCGTTTAGCTTGACAAGTTTCACGCACGGAAAGGTAGTTAGGGCGTTGTTGGGAAAACTAAGATCGTGCACTTCGGTTGGAACTTCTTCAGGAACCTTCATCAGACCCTTGTTATCACAAGTCAATTTAGATACGCTACCGAAAGAGCTGTAAAATTCTACGTTACATCCTAGCGATAGCAGTTTTGAAAGTCCAGTGTCCGAGGACTCTCTTGCTACAACCACCACGAAAACGGTCAGAATCTGAACGATAAGCATGCTGGGGAATATCAGACGCCCGTTTAGATGTCTATAATGTGGTGCTATCCAAACTCATGGAGAAAAGAATGACATTCCCTTGCTACAAAAAAGTATATAATCCTAATATTATTGTCTGTGACAGTTATGTGTGCAGATTGATTTTGTGTATCGCTACAGTAAGTGCACAGTACAGCAGACAAATTGTGTTATTGTTTACAATCACTTAGAATACCAGTTAGTATCACTTTGTCTTGCTGTGCGCTTAAACGTCCTTGTTTCTGTCAGTGTGGGTTGGGTTGCCTATGAACGCTGTCACCCCAACAGCTTTATTCTGTGGCCAAGACGCCGCTTAGGTTCTCTTTGCCAGAAAGCACTCTGACATCCTGAAGACTGAAGAAGAAAAATGCTCAGAATTAACAGGTGCCCTGTACTCGGTACAGTAAAGTCGCGGGTTCCATCCCGGCGGCCGAGCCATTCCAGAGATCGAGAAATAGTATGGCAATTGAACAACATATTCCTGCACGTGTCTCCGACGAAACAACAAAATACATGTATCAAAAACGCATTACATGTTTTTATAAAACTCCCACTCTCACACAGCGCAAGCTAGGGGTTGCCAATGAGCGACAGTATTAGAAAAGCCGGCTGATCTGCTGAAAACATCGACTGACAGCAAAGGCCTGCGCCAACAAACTGGGGCCGAAACACTCCACAGCCGACGCATAGAGAATGATCGCTAGGCTGGTACATGGTTCAGTACAGAACTAGTATGCCAGTTACCAGGTACCGATGGTTTGCAATGTTCCTCTCTCGGCTACGTTTCTACCAATTGTCACATCAATAGCTTTCTGTCTTGTGAAATACGTGGACAATCAGTAAGCTTCCCTGAAGAAAATATTCTTACTTTATCTGCTGCCTCGCAGACAGTGTGTAATTGGCCCCTTCCCCTTCTAGGAGACCGGTCAGTCAGTCAGCCCGGCCGCTAGGAGCGCGATTTGGGCAGGCTTCCTCCCGTGGCGCCTGCCGATTGCCGACTGAGAAGGGAACAAGCTGATTTCTATGGTTGTATGATTGTCTAGCGTGATACAACACGGTGGATACAATCAGTCACGTGGGCGTTCCGTCAACAATCTTATCTTTTTGCAGGTTGTAGGAATTGTTGCCGGGCCAACATTCCCCCCAGGCAGTGCGTGGGTGAGTAAAACAGACAAATCTAGATACAGGTAGGATGACAACACGTCTATATTGGAATATATTAAAGGAGGCAACCGTTCAGCGACAAACATCGCTAATTCTAAGCTTGTCGTGAATCTAATCTAAATACACTAAACCTACAATAATAAAATGATAAGACAAAAATTGACTAAATCCTTCAGGTAATATAAAGCCATGTATATCGGGGGGAAAGTGTTGTGAATAAATGATTAAAACTGAGAAATCATAATTGTGCTTGCTTTTCGGTGTGTGTGTAAAATGTCAAAGACATTAAAAAAGATTTAAAAAACACACATTTAGTACATTTTGTATTTTATAAAAAAAATTTCACTGCTTAAGTAAATGACAGTTACTGTTCTGATTATTGAGGAAATTGGAGTTTTGCTACCCGCGCGGCCGAAACACTGTAGATTTATTTTCCTGTGCGTGGAAGGTATTCAGCACCAAGGACAGGTTTGCCTGTGTTGTAGAAAGTGTTTATTATACCACGGGATGAAGTCCCGCGAAAATAAATGAATTTACAGTAATAGGAAAATTAACATATGCCTAGCACCTAGACGGGCCGTCATTGGTCGTCATAATTAGATTACTAGCTTCACATTAATTAGACAGGTCCGTTCTGCACACCTGTGTAAAAACAAGTTTGGTATCGCCCGTTCAAAATGGCGCCTTCGCACGACGGGAATACTCAGGACTGAACTTTCTGGGTACTTCTTAGAGTTTTCGTCGGTAGAATGTGTTACTAAGTATGCAGCAGTGTGTTTGGGAGTTTTCGCTGTGGGGATTTGTGCCGTTCTGGTGTTGTTTTGAAGAGAAAATGCTGATTTTCAGACCTGACGATTTTTGGAGAAGACAACAAAATGGCGTGTACGGAGACAGTTGGGAAGAGTAGCGTGGCATGGAGACAACTTTACTTATTGTTGCAGGTAAACCAGCCAGTTGTTTGGCAGATATTATTCCTTAGAAACTATAGTACGAACATCTCAAGTTATATTCCGTAAGAAATTACCTATTTTTGTATTAGGGAGCGACCGTTTCAAATTTTAGACTAGCATTGAAAAATCTATCAAGCTGCCGCGTTTTCAACAACATTTTCAATGTGTGGTGCGCTTGTAGAGTATTAAATGTATGTGCATGTCTTCATAGGCACTTGTTCAGCGTTTTGAGGTTATATTTGTTGAAAGAAATTACGCATTGACCAAAACTTTTTCTTTATCTCCACGTGGTTCAAAACACCTGTTGGAATGTGCCCGTGTACATAATTAATTTTTGATAATCCCCCCAAAAAACTTGCGTAAACAAGATGGGGCCCTCAAAGCTTTAAGGCGCCGAAATAACTACGATACAAAACGTTTGGAAACTTCAGTCGAGTTGACCATACTTTCGTTCTTCAATCATTATTATTTGCAACGTATTATGTGAAATTTTCCATGTTTAGGCTGATTCTGTAATAGCAATGACCAAGGCCCAAGTATTTGTGGCGTAAACACTGCAGTTGACAACCCTGGAATTTTAAGGTCTCAATTACTAGTACTGTTTTCAAAACATTTGGGCCGAGTTTATATGTATTCTACCGGTACATAAAGTTTCAGTTGAAGGGGTTTAATTTACTTTGTTATTGTTGTTGTTGCTATCCCATTTTTAATGGTCATTAGGCCATGTTGATTTGATTATATGGATGACATCCTCTGAGAACCCCAAAACTGATGCGAACATGCGAATAAAAAAAAGTTTTGCAAAAAAAATTGCTTTCATTATGAAGTCTACGTGGTCAAGAAGGGTTGAACAAATGACACAGCTGAGTATGGTATCTTGAATTATTTACTCTTCAAATTAATTTCTTTACATTTTGGTCTTTTTCATTTGATTATGGCATTCTACAACATTGGTATCGTTTTCAAATATTTTTTTTTAATTTACAGTATATATTTGCTCATTTTGCAAGTGTTTTTTTACGATTTACAGTATGGTTAGATTTTTTTTTTTTTTTGGAAACGGCCGAAAATTCATGCCCGCATGGATGTCATCCATATGCTAGTAATCAAATCAATATGGCCTTAGGCATAGTTTTCGTTGAGGTATTTGTTGTAAAGGAAAGAAATGTTGTTGTTTTAAAATCTGGTTCGTTTCAATTTTAGACTGATTCTGTTTTAGTTTTCTGATTTTAGTCTGAAACTATTTCTTCCTTTTATAGAATCCTGTAGTGAACTGTCCTCTGAGGGTCAGCAACCTGTGCAGGAGTATTTGGCCAGGTGAGAAAAATGTGAATTCTGCATTTTACCTGCAGCTATTTGGTATTATTTGAGTGTATGACTTGTAATGTCTGTTTAGTTAGGTGGCTGCTGACTGATGCAGTAGTGAATACTCCTGTCTGAACCTGACAAGAG